CTTACTGACTTCTGACTTGGGGAACCTTCTGTAGTCCACGATAACTCCTCTCGACTCGGAGAAGTGGTCTAATCGAGTAAACGGGAATGACGGCATTCGACAGTAAAACCGAAAGTGACGAGAAAATATACAACAAGTATGGCACAGAGCATGTCAGCAGTTATAAACACCCAGGGAAAAGACGCTGTAAACCGATGTCCAACGAGGGCGGACGGTTACAGAAAGTGGTAATAGGCGGGATGTTAACGGCCTGAAAAAAGAAATCAGGCTTGGGACATCGACGGTCGGCTGCTGATGGGGGAATGACACTCAGTCGATCATTTGTAAAATCCGTCCCATACATTGCCTGGAGTAAGGACGTAGTTCATTGATCATTGGTCTGAATAAAAAACCTGGGGTCGGCACAAATCTGCCGGGCTCATATTAGCGAGGCGCAGAGTTCACAGACGACGAAGACACGGAAATGAAAGCCTAAAAAAGGAGAGAGAGGTTTCTCTGGGAAATCCTCGCGTGCTCGGGTTGAAACTGTGTCCACAGATAAAGGGCGATGGTATTCGCTGGCATCGTCAGCGTTGCCATATGGCGCCATTACGCATAAGGCCAATAATCACTGCAATTCATGTGATGTTTGGTGTTCTTGGTTAAACATGACTGGACTTGATTTCGTTGTGTTGATTCATCCGAAGATTGGCGCGGGGACCTCGTGGTAATTAATGGTTACAGAAATTTGAACCAACGACCGGGGCGTACTAAGCAACGTTTCCAAAGCCAGTCCAGCCGACGTGTTGGTAAGGTGAGTTTGGTCACCATTCAGGGGATATTTTCTGTCCAAACTTACTGTGTAACCTAGCCTCACTACAGAATTCTCTATAACGGGGCTATTTATGAGGAACACAGATTTACTTAACGTCCTTCTAATAATCAAGTTATAATCCTTTTAAAATCCATACCATACGGACTTTGCCGTCTCACTGGTTTATGTATCCACGAAAGATCTACTTGAATGGGAACGATAACTGCACGTAAATTAAAGTAAGCAGGCTCATCCGAAGGGACCTTTTTCCGTTTCGACTATGCTGTCCCATCTCTACGACACATCGCTTAGTCTGACATCGCGTCTTTTGTAGTTTGCGGTTAAATACCCACTGTTTGCATCGAAGTAGAACTTTTACTCAGCCCTTTGCCTTATTCATATGCTCCTTGTCTAATTGATATTTCGAAAGAGGAGTTTGGCGAGTGAACGTATACTTACGATAGATTCTCGTCAGGCCTGTACATGTATAAGGAAGCGAGGTGCAAATTCAAACTTGTTCGTCTTTTCGGACCAGTGAGTCATGGGAATGGGGGTGGAGTGGATAAGAGAAGGCTGGCTATGAGTGCAGAGTTTGATGGAGCAGTGTAGGGGAGGAAGGAAGGGGGAAGGGGGAGGGAAGCCACCAGAGCGCGGATGACTGCATGCCGCTAAGTGACTGTGTGCCACGACGGCTGCGGAGCTTGTAGGAAGTTCTTTTTTGCACACAGCGTGGACATCATCAGTTGATATAGTGGATATCTCTCGTCCATGAATCCTTTATCGAACAAGCTGGATTTTGAGATTGAAATCCGATGCAACTCCGCAGTCACTTATTATCAGCAAATGGGAAACTAACAAAGAACGTGCATGTGAAGTATCCGCAGACTGACTGGCAAGAGGAGCCAGGTTTTAATCTGCCTTCCAGTTGTTCTTTTTTGTGGAAACAGTGATGAGTGTCAGCAAAGTGTGTCTCAGAAAATCGTAGAAAGCGAAAACGGTAACAGTAGTTTAAGCAGTTCACCCCATATACCCCTGGTCCCAGATTTTTTTTCTATGGAAACCATGGTTATAGCGGTTTTATGCGCGGGGGATTAGGGTAGACAGTGGAATATACTTTAATAACTGCTATATACATTTTTTATAGTATTAATAAATTTCCTTGATTTACATTTGTATATTTTCCTAACCTATATTATCGTTTAACGCATTGCGGAAACACCCGATTATCAATATACACGTTTCTTGAAATTTCCGAAAAAATAGAAATGATGTTTAGCAAGTCGTCTGCTTCAACTTATCTGCAGTCCAACTTGCCGTTCTGAAGGTTGATCAGCATAGTCCGTGGCGCCATGCGCCGCGCACACCTTCAATTTACATGCGGAAAATTTACTCCCAGCGGCCACGCGAAACAAATTCAACTATATTTTTCCACTTGCCACTTACTTCTACAAATTTACTTCACTGCCTATCCTCTTCCCCCACCCCCAAGACCCGTTTCCGCAGAAGAAAACATTGCGACTAGGGATATATAACGTGCACTGCTTAAACTACATTTGCTGGCGTAAACTAACGCAAACATTGCAACAAGCGGATGCATTGACTTCTCGGCATTTATCGTTGATGCCAATTGCATGTAAAAATGTGGAGCAGCTCAGGCCGCTCTGCATCCTGGACATATTAACCAAAATAATTTTTCTTCTCACCTCAGTCCAATATTCGGCGTCGCACTCAGCAGCAAAGGACAATCCGATAGTCTCATATTACGTTGCTGGTATGCCTTAGTTCTGCAAAAACTCCCATTTATTTACGATGGAAAAGTCCTTATTGGCAAAAAAATTGTTTTCAGGCCAGTAAAACGATAGAGAGAATAAAACGGTCAGTTATGTGCAATGGTCCAATGGTAATCGGTGTATGGAGGGAAGGTGGTTGTGTAATTAGGCATCTTCCTGTTGCTCCATCTCATGCATGCTAGCGAAAGCTTGTGGGGTACGGCCCACAGGGAGGAGTATGGGGGGATGATCTCACCTTCGGCGTGGGTTAGGCTACTCTCTGTGACTTTGTGCGCCGAAGTTTCGGGCGGTGTGATCTGCGCAGATGGCAATCCATTTTCGAAAACCCGCTCTCTGCTTCTAAAAGGCTCTGGTACACGCAGTTTGCATTCCTTGGCCGACTGCACGAGTGAATCCCACGCTACCCGAAAACCCCGGCACACGAAGCCACAGAGAGTACCCAAACGCACGGTGAGCAAATCACCCGTCCTCCCTGCGGGCCGCAGCCAATGTTCTCACAACGGACTGGCGCCAACATG